AGGAAAGACTGACAAAGCAAATATATGTTGCAGAAATGAATGGAAGAGTCGGAAAGGGACGTCCTAGGTGATAGTTTGTCGACCAAATTGGCGATATAAAAAAATGGGCCTGCCTACCCCTCTGGGTGACAGGCGTGAGTGTTTATGTTTTATATATATATATATATATATATATATATATATATATATATATATATATATATATGAGGAGGTACGATTAAATAGTATCTGCTGCGTTACACATACTACGTTGTATAACGGGGCCCTTGGCTGCATAGCTACGCCACTGCTGGTAGTGGCCGCCAATGGCGAACTTTTCTTCCCCATCGTCTGTCGGTTCTTCAAGCTATGTCGGTTACTCTGATTTTACTGTCTTTCTTGCGGAGGGACACAGTAGTTACATACATTTTGCTGAATTGACTCTGAGCACTTGTGTCCGGAGTGGGTTCGGCAGCGAGCGCCGGTCGTTCCCCGTCACAGCCCACGCTAGGCCGCTACCAAGTAGGAAATATTATTATATCGCCATTAACAATATCTGAGTCTGAACACAAACATCAGTGACATTCGTAATTTTAATTACTGAACCTTCAAGAAAAGAGCTTACTCTCAAATGATTTCGTATATTTACGCGAACACTACACATTGATTATAAGCTTACTCCTTTCTAAAAGGTCGGCAACGCACCTGCAATTCCCCTGGTGTTGCGGTTATTCGTGGGCGGCGGTAGTCACTTACCATCAGGTGAGCCGCGTGCTCGTTTGCCCCCTCTTCTATAAAAAAAATGAACCTGATAGGCACATTCGGCACCTTCTGTGAGTCATTTGCATGACTATTGGGCATAAATAATTGTACACTATTGACTGTAAACATTGCACATTTCATATTCCTGCACACATAATTTCTTCTATCACGCAGTGAATCTCCAAGCATAGCCTTCGCCATAGCTCGCTGATTCACCTTGGGCGTCCTCATACGGCCAGCAGTGAAGGACATCGTCTCAGGTCCCACCATCACAAGGACCAGCTATCATCAAAAATACGACACGTCCGTCCTTAAGACCAAATTTCAGTCGCGGCCATTCTCAACGAAGACTAGCCTTCTCTGCACAAGAAACGATGGTAGTGCCCGGATGTATATGCAAACACAGGTGCACTCTCTGTTCCCTCGCTTATTATCTGATAGGATGGTTGTCCGACACGACCAAACAGAGTTGGTTAGTTGGTGTTTCTTCTGATGATGCTTCGTTTAGAGACGAAATGTATGTCGTATTATCGACGTTAGTGTGTCTTTTCTAATGAAGTGTTGATAGGAGTAGTGGTGCTGAGGTTAGTGGTGGCAGGGTTAATGCATACAATTGAGAAATGGCTATATAGTTGCTCTTGAAATTGGGCAAGCCACATCTTTTTTTACGAAGATTTTAGCTAATTAGAGTTTGACATCTTTTGATATGTTTTTTTATAAAGAAGATTGTAGGTTAAGCACTAGCCGTGACTACGATTTAACCTTACCTTAAGTGGTGATGAAGCCCTAGATTTTAAATCGCAATGTTTATTTACTCCTGCCTTGATGACAACCAGATTGCAATCAGTAAGGCATGTTCTAATATGTTCTTAGTTTGAAGTTTGTGATCTTGCATTAGATTATAGAGGGTACAGTTATACCCTCCATACCACAGAACACTTACACTCACTCACTTTTAATATATTAAGTGTTCTGTACCTCCATACACATTAGACTTGGAATACAACATACTAATTAACGTCATGTTAAACAAATTAACTTGATTTGAAAAAATCAATTGTTCATTTGTTTTTTCATCGCAGTATCTTCACCAACAACATCAGCTTGTCGTGTTCCGCTGCTGAACAAAGACCTAAACCTATTTCATCACAGCGAGGAGTTGCATTTATCGTCACGCTAAGCAGTCTCAGACGTGACCACTTTTAACACTGCTTCCCACACCCACGGGACGATATGAGGTACTGGAATATTTTTACACTGCCACTACACGGAACTGGGAATATATACTTTATGAAAAATAAATACAGTAGTAGATACAATATACACATATTACGTAGTATTATTATTAGTAGTGGTAGTATTACGTTGGTATTAAGGTTTTAGGACAAGCAAGTGTCCGCCGCGCTGCCCCAATGCGTGTTGGCGAACTTCACATGTCTTCGAAATATTTTTTTTCTTATTCCTCAGATGTTTTCCTTCATCGCCGAGCACTAACGCGCCGGTATGTATCTATATTTTACTTTATATCTGTCATAAACGAGATGGCGATTGCGACATCTATCGAAACTTCGCATTATCTTTGAATATCGAACGTTGAAGTTCGAACGTAGCACCCATAAATAATGTACCTAACGTTGAACAACTCATGAGCAGCAGCTATGCGAAACCGACAGCACCCTTACAGCCTATTGAAGTCCACTGCTGAACACAGCCCCCCCCCCCCACATTCACAAGACATTATTTGCTACAGTTGCCACGATTGGAAAGCGGCTTGGCAACCGCAGTTTTTAATTTTTAGTCGTTATTAAACGCTGCTGCTCATCTCCTGATTTGTTCCCCTCTGTCGCCACTTACGACACCCGCGGGACGACATGCGGTAGTGTAATGTGCATACACAACCGTAGCGTTGTGTATGCACATTACACTATGTACAATAAGTAAAGTGTATCCATGAATGGAAATACAGTGCGTTTTTAATTTGACCTCTTAGGTTCTCACAACTTCGCATTGAAAACGATACTCGTGGACAACTGGAGTCAAGTAAATCATATCATGTCTTAAGCGCAAAGAAGTATTAAAGTCTAAAGAAGATTCTCCAAACACATTTATAAAATCAAAACTGGTGTCAACAATTTTTAAATGTAGACCATGAAAAAAAAAAACAATGTAATTTTAAAAGTTCATTTATTCGGCTTTTATTTATTCCGTTGCTTATATTATAAAATATTTACATGGAGAGGAAGCGGCCACGGAGGCGGGCCGCAGTGGGTCCGCATCCGAAGTAGCTTCGCGCTACATTTCTAAAAATTATAAAATAATAATATGCATAATATATTCTCTACCGACGGCTCGCACAGCCGCCGGACTCTTATTGCATAAACTTTAGTCTCTCGTGTCATAAAACTCAATTCGGCTTAAAAGTAGAGAGGTTTCAGATCTATTACCGGGAGGCGCGACATGGCTGTGTCCACTGTGCGCTGGCGTGCGAGTTCACAGCAACGCAAGTACTTCGAGCACGCTGAGGCAAGTGATGTGGGAACAAATTTTTCATTGGTAAGGGATAAAGGGAACGGATATACAGTTTGCAATCATTACTTATAATAAATAAGGTCATAGAAATGTTGATTATGATAAATTAGATTGTGTTATAAATGGATTTTAGCATAAAATCAATATTTTTTAAAGCAAATTAAATTAGACTGAAAAAAATTCATATTAATTGAGCAGGTGACGAATACTGTGTGAAAATGACATAGTTGAATATTAACAATATTTTTGAGGAAAATTCCTGAACACCCCTACTATGGATTTGTTTTATAATACGGATAGGTAATGAAATAACAGACGGTTTAAGATTTTTTACAAGGCATATCTACATTCTTTCTACAATGTTTCTTTACATGTTTTGATATAAAAGCTTAATATCGTACAACTTAATGTGTTCGTGAGATATTAGCCGGTTTTATATAATTTTACACGTGGTACCTATATTGACGCATATTAGCAAAAAAGCTGGCCGTAAATGTAAACTAAACGATTTTTTAAATACGGAAACAAAGTCACATCCTGCCTCTATAAAATAAATGAAACAAATGCATCACACAGAAAGTGTGCTCGGGCAAGTGGACACGCGCCGCCGTCGCGCCGCACCGCTCGCGTCCTGGGAGAAGTGATTCAAACCGTATGCCGATACAATATCTATATATGGGGTGACAGAGTATGTATCAGATACCGCTTCGCCTCACTTTACAGAACATCTAACATCGAACTTGAAGAAATAATATTATCGTAAAATATCTATGATATAATGCACTGAGTGCGAGATTTTATATTTGAGTAAAATGTATAAAATATCTACTTTCACTCTTCCTTGTAACATATACTCATTTCAGATATCATAGATATTAAACCATTATTTAGATATTACAATATATCTATATATTTAAGCAAAACAAATCTATCAAAAACAGAGTTATAGAATCACGTAGATGTGAACCGATATAATGATATTGAAGTGTGTAGATTTTTAATATCAGACATTTAAATCCAATAGAAAGGTATGATTTCATATAGGGTAAGAGTTAACCATTACCCATGTTTATTTGTTTCTTCGCGAGCTAACTTGATCTTATGGGCGTTGAGGGTATACCAATAGCTTTAAGTTTTATCTCATACGTTGGTGTTTAGCGTGTAGGGAAAATTGACTTAAATATTTTTGAAAAACTTGTATTATGTTTCATTGGTTAAATGAAAATATATTTCAAAAACTATAAAATTACACCCTACGCCTTGTATTAGCATTTATTAGAGTGCACTGCAGCGTACAGCTCTGCGGTAAGGTGGAGCGGTTACGTTATCTCTAGGAACCATTACTATTTATAAATTCGAGGAATGTATTCGAAGTCATGGAGTTAACGACTACTTATTTATTATTAGGTAAATAATATCAGTAACATTTTATTATTAACAAACAGCCTTTTCGCCATTATTATTATTATTTCGATAACTTAAAAAAGTGCGTATCACTTTGGCTCGATACGATATAGGAATGTGGTTAGGAATGTGCGAGCTCGGTGGCCCGCTCGGACGAATATTTGGTAACAGCTATGTACTTATTCTACAGCGTTGTTTTTCTTTAATAAAACTAGACACGGGCGTATGATTATACCCAATTTTTGGTCCGAGTATAAAAAGTACATAAATTACATAGAAATATTTGCTATAGATTTAAATATATGACAGAAGTGGATGGGTGCCGCTCAGCTCGCAAGCGACACGGCGGCGCCGCGCTCGGCGTCGGCACGCCGGTACTCGTCCTCGTACGCGGCGGCCAGCGTGTGCGTGTGTGCGTACGAGTGCGTGTGCGCGTGCGTGTGCGCGTGTGCGTGCGCAGGCGGCGGCTCCTCCTGCTTGAGCGCGTGCTGCACGTAGTAGCCCAGCGCGAGCGCCGCCCGGTTCTCAACGCCGCCCGTATTGCTTAAGCCGGAGTTGTTCTCCACTGCAACATGAGACGTATATGTTTATTATATCGTTGTAATGCTGCAACTAATTTTTCACAACGCCATGGGTTGATTGGCAGAGAATACTAACTGACATTAAAGCTACACGCACATTTTTCAGTACCGTACGCGCCGCACGCGCAGAACGCACGACATTATAGAATTCACTACCTATGTGACATCACAATATGAAATCTTGCACCGAACACACCGTATTTTATAAAATGCGGTAGGTATTGTTTTTAGAACATTGAAGAAGGCGTACTTATGACGACATAACCGCGTTTGGCGCGTGCTGATACTCAGTATTGTCTAATGTTGCCAACTTAGTGGATTTTTCACTAAAACTGTTATGGTAGAGAGGTATAGTTTTGCTATAATATGTAACAACTCTTTGAAGTTTCTTGTATACCAAATGCAAATATCTGCAAAATTGTTCATAATAATTAATAAGCCTTTAAATAAACTATAATATTCTCCATACAACTACCTTTGACTTAGTGTTGTCAATCCAGAACCTTCGTTTTATTCGAATTTTATTTTCTTCTTCCTCTGCCAATAAGCAGGCTATTACACTTAGCCCGCTTATTGGCATAACATTTTCCCCGTAGCGATCCGAGCGATCAATGTCACTGTACCGTTTAACACCAGTGGTTGGAAAAACTGCAAAAGTTATTGGCAATACAAAAAATGAGTGCGACGCGTACGTGCAAATGTGCTAGTCTATCAGTAAATGCGGCGCGTACGTTGCTGACAAATGTGCGTTCAGCTTAAATCCGCCTTTTATAACTTTTACGGTTAAAGCAATAAAATCTTTAAATAAATAAATAAAATAACGCTGAGTACTTAATATTGAGACGTGAATATGTTTTTTTTTTAATTTAGGTTGCATGTGTTTGTGTGTGTGCGTGCGCGCGCGCGTGTGTGTGTGTGTGTGTGTGTGTGTGTGTGTGTGTGTGTGTGTGTGTGTGTGTGTGTGTGTGCGTGCGTGCGTGCGTGCGTGCGTGCGTGTGTGCGTGCGTGCGTGCGTGCGTGTGTGTGTCGTGCGTGCGTGCGTGCGTGCGTGCGTGCGTGCGTGCGTGCGTGCGTGCGTGCGTGCGTGTGCGTGCGTGCGTGCGTGCGTGCGTGCGTGCGTGCGTGCGTGCGTGCGTGCGTGTGTGTGTGCGTGCGTGCGTGCGTGCGTGCGTGTGTGTGTGCGTGCGTGTGTGTGTGCGTGCGTGCGTGCGTGCGTGTGTGTGTGTGTGTGTGTGTGTGTAGATTGTCTCACAGGTGGGATTTCACAATAGTTGCCAAGCTTGACAGGCGGGTTGACAACCACAGTTTTTTTATAGTTTTAAGTTGTTACCGGGAATGTCCCCTATAATCTTCCGCCCGAGCGTATGGCTCACCTTGCTAAGCAACTGTGTAGCAATATATAACCTCTTGCTTTGCCCAAATGAGTGTTGGTGAACTTCCCTTCCTCGATATATCTACGAGTATATTTTAACATCTCGAAATGAATGATCTCAATTCGCAACCAACATTCATTAGTGCTTGTTAAGATCGATCACGACGGTTGGACTTTTTGATTTGACGACGAGATATTGTACCTACCTATGACCACAGAATAAATAGTAGTATAAGAACAGAAGGATCACTCTCTGATAACAAACTAGCGAGTTTCAATCTATTTACAACGTCGCTAATGTTAACGATACTTTGCACGCCTTGGAAGTGACCTTCGTGACCTACCAATTAAATCGTCGAAAAAAAAAATAATGTGGCGCGCATACGCATATCAAAATATATCTTACGTTCGGATGCGAGTGTCTGTATCATCTACTGTAGGGTTAAGTGTTGTGAGAAAACAAATTGAATCCCTTAAAATTAGTTGGTAGTAAAATACACCGAGGTGTTATGCAATGTATTAGTAATTTGTTGATAATAAGAATATTATTGTTCAATGTAAGGTAGGTCATCCTATGCAGATAAACCACCAGTATATGCTGATCTTGCATTAGTAAGCAGTCACTAGCACTGGGAGGATATTACACGCGAAAAAATCGAAAACTGTGAAGCTGTGGTTGGGTCGCTAACCAAACAATAAATCTGTAACTATGGAGCCGGTAACTAGGTACCTAATTGTTAACATGTACCTATAAATAATAATATCTTACCATTCGATATCCTTTGGAACAGTAAAAAATGAAAAGTCGACATTTCTATTGTTATTTAAGCACACGTATGCTATGCAGTACTTTTTGGATGTTTGAGTGGCCATACTTGAATCAAAACTTAAAAATAAAATAAATAAGTGCCTAAATATAAATAAGATACAGGCCTGCTATCATGTAAAACAGAATTCACACTTAGGTGCATCACCTAACTTGAAATAGTTTCGTCTGTCTTGTCAGTTGATTGTATTGACTCTAAGCCAGTACATGACTATTGTCCCACATTTTGGGTTGAATAGACCCATTTACCTAATACGGTCCGTGTAGCTTTGAAATGAGTTTTCTGCATAAAAATATCTTTTACATGGCCAGCATCAGTGTAGGCTGAACTGAAAGATGATAAGAAGATTGATAGATAAGATGCAAAAGTATGACTTTCTGGGAGATGACTAAAAATTTGCTTGCCATTTAGTCCATAAGTAAGAGCATGAGCAAGGCATGAAGTTCGTAAATGAACTGTATTCACGACTTGTCGTCGTCCCTGGTGATATTAGGGCTGGTTCTTTTCTCGCTAAAACGCCAAGTTAGTCCAACCATTCACCAAAAAACGCAGGTAGCGTTCTTGGCACTATGTCGCGGGAAGTAGAAATGTATTATGTAAGTTTTTAGTTTTAGTTTTTTTTCATTAAGATAATTTATATAAATTAATGTTATGCAAATAAATTTATATGTACGTTGACATTAAGGAATACATGAACAATTGCTATTCTACTTGTTAAATAATATGGAAGTACTTACACAAGTTCTCGATTTTGACGGTGTTTGCGACAGAATGCGCGGAGTGCGGTGCGTGCGCGGCGTGCGTCGCGTGTGACGCGTGCGTTGCATGTGTTGCGTGCGCTGCATGCGAGCTACTTTTGCTGAGACTTCTTTCTGCCTTCATACTATTCTTTGGTTTTCGCTTTCTTGTCTGAAAAGAGAAACACGTTGAAATTACTCAAGTGTTCACTTCTATTGGATTAACAAAGTATACATTATTTAAATAAGATAATTTTATTTAGTTCCATGTTATAAAATAAACGCTTATCATCAGGTTTGTGTTCATACCCAGTATGCTTGTGTCTTATTTGCATTCACTGTTGAGAACGCAAATAAGATATTTGCGTTCTCTGGTGTTGAAAAATTAGGTACATGCATGAGTTTAAGCGAAACTTCTTAAGGTACCTATAAGAATTTTGTAATACTTACAATAATCGCTTTTGTGATGAACTTTTATATGATATTTCAGCTTTGAGTTTTAAACTATTATAACTCAGTGCTTGACGTACTATTCTACCAGATGGTACCTGATGGTAATTGAAAATTTGTCCAAAGATGACTAACTAGACAGAAGCTACTATTCACTCTTGCTTTGAAGACAACCCACATCTAATACAAAAAAATGTTTGTTTGTTCTTATTTTATGCGCTGCCGTACCGTTCATCAGATTGTGGTAAAACTTTGTCAAGTTTGTTTACATTTGTGTGAAGGTTACAGGCATAGTACAATTAACCTATAGTAGGTGGCGTGTATCGCACCGACAAATTTATTTGAAAGTTATATATCATTCAACTTCGATGGATGTATTATTATTCCTAATTAAACAATATAATCCTTAAAAATTTAAAACATTATTTCAAATAAAAATAACATAACATTTTGGTTGGAAGATAATAATCCACCTTGATTGTTTATTCATTTTATTTTATTCGAAAAACAAACAGTGACACTGTCCTTACATAATCAACCTCATTAGCAAACTTATCTTAACTCAACAGTGTGACAAATGAACAATTTTATTATGATTATTACTTATACATATTATATGTTGAATTGACCCTAAGCTTTAGAGAAATGTAAATATTAGGGAAAGGGCTACCTGAAGGATCAATTTTTGGACCATTTCTATTTATAAAACATAATATCGAAAATGTTGCATTCTTGTGATTTTAACAATATGACATCAACGTGACAAAACAAAGCCTAGCCATAAATCAAAATAACAGAGGTAGCCGTAGGGGCTAATCGTACGACGGATGTTGATAATTCTTTGAAGAGTATTTGAATACTCATTTTGTACAGAGTGCTAAGACCTAAATTTTTAAACTGAGACCGAATATGACGTCTTCAACCGACGAATTATGCTGATAGGTAAATAAATTGTTCATGACTCATGAGTCATTACTTACTTAATATTATTTTCAATCTATATTGAATAACAATGATATATTATTCATCTCTTTTATTCTAGGTAAAGTTAGCTACATTTTTTTATTCTTTGATTTCTGTATTAGTTAATATGCTTGACTGTCAGGGACGTGCTCTGGTGGATTTGTTGCAATGATGTTTCTCATTTTAATGCGACAAAATCTACCTTGATTTTAAATTAGCTGGTAGTGTAGTGAGGTGCTGACCTGTATAGAGTCCTTCTTCATGGCGAGCGGGCGGTTGATGTTGTGCAGCTTGTAGTAGAGGCCGCAGGCGTTGCAGACGGTCTCGCCGTGCGCGTTGCGGCGCCACAGCGACGTGGCAGTCGTGTGGCAGTTGCTGCACGACATGCCCGGCCGCTTCGTGCCCATCTGCGCACACACGCACACGCACGCTCTAACCAACGCTCTGATCACTGCTCATTCGGATTCATCGATGCCAGTAATCTAATTTAGTACCTCTACCACTAGTTAGTATTTTTTGAATTCTAACTGTTTTCTGTATTTAAAATGAACTATTTTTAAAATTAATTTATAAAAATTCAATCAAATTTATTTCATCGATGAATCCACGTGAACAGTAAGAGTTTGTATTTTTAAGCTTTCAGTCTCTGTTTATTTTATTAAATTGTTGAGTCTATATAATATCTATGAAATTACCGTTTTTAGAAAAATGTTTGCCAGTATTGTACCTTAACGAAATTCAGTTGATACACCTAAATAATGAATATATTAGAAGGAACATAAGATGATTTATTTAAATTATTAAAGTATGTTTTTAATCAGAATTCATATAAAATTTCAACTTGTCTTCAAATCTTAAGAGTTGGGCAATCCGCTCTTAACATGACTATCTCATAAATGCAAATTTATGTGATAGTCTTGGTACCGTAGGTTCCTCCATATTGTCATGACTTTGTCATACAATTTTTCCCAGACATCATTTCCTAAATCTCATTTACTTTTTGAATTCATAATTGAGGACCTGAATACCTTTCATTAAAACTGGAATTGGTAAAAAAGTAATCGTTATAAACGGCAATTCCATATATTTTAACTTTTTACAGAGTTTTTGATTTTTAGACACAGGAGTAATTTTCAAGGCGTAAGTTTATGCGAATTTGTGCACCTACCTTATAGCATTTTTGAAGATTATGTTTTACTCCTGAGTCCTTCAATGTTCATGCGGTTAGACACAATGAGGTTCAGATAAAACCGGTTGCATGCAACAGTGATAATTATTATTGGTACGGTTGTTAACACGGGAGAAGCGATGAGGGTTAGCGAGCGCGGAGAGGGATCGGTCGGGGAGGGAGGTGGGGGCGGGGCCACATACCCCTTTCTTCTGTTTGTAGTCAGGGGGGTGGAGGCGGCGCGCGGCGCGGCGGGCGCGGGCGGCAGCGCGAGCGGCGCCACGCCGCTATAGCCCTGGAGGAGGATGCCCTTGTAGAAATCCGCGCCCGGCGGGGCCCCCTCCGCGGCCACTGCAACCAACACAAGTGTCACTATCGCTCGGGACGTCGGGCGCGGATGTCTCGCGGGCGGGGCGGGGCGGGGGGCGTGCGGTGGGGGCGCGGGGTTAGTCAGACGTGGGCTGCGTACGTCGGGCGCGGGCGGCGGCACGAGCGCGTGCCGCTGACGTACCAGCCGCCGCGGCTGCTTGAGCGGCCGGTTCATGCCGTTCATCTTGTTGTAGAGGCCGCACGCGTTGCACAGGTAGTGGCCGGTGCCGTCGCGCCGCCACAGCGGCGTGTGGATCGCGCCGCAGTTCACGCACTCGCGGCCCTCCGTGAAAAACTCCGCCATCTCGACTGTGCACAACACACCGCCGTCAGCCTCGCCCGCGAAGCTCCCGCCGCCGCCGAGCGCACCCGCGCGGCAAACCGATACCTCGCATGTCATTACACTTCTTCCACTATTATTACACGTCACTACCTTCCACTTCAACTGCGATCATCCACCGTTTGTGTAGACTTGCAACGAATTTTATATTCAGCCACACGCCGGATACCTAATATTCTGCGGACTTCCTGGCCGCGTAGCCGAATACTACGGAAAAGTATTCAGCCGGGAAAGAAGTAGGTAGTGTTTATTCAGAAAGTCTTTTCTCTGAAGCTAAGATTGTCTACGAGAAGAAAACGAGTTTACTGGCGGAATGTAGAAAAATAACTCTTTGTGTAGCCTACCATAAACTTCCACTTCTAAATTTTAATTACGATAATTTAAGTGGATAGACTTCTATTTGTGACCTAGGTTGTTATAAATTTTTATAATATGTAAATTAATTATCTACCTATGAATACTTTAATGACATCAACAAAAATTCATTATTTGTAAATATAAAGTCAATTGTGTCCGTCAGTCCCCTTCCAACTCAAAAACAGACGAATTTCGATGAAATGTTTGTGTGTTTGAATGAATCCCTAGATGGTTTAGATTCACATTTACACTCGGTAGATGGCGCTGTTGTGAAGATCCCAAAAATCACCCGTGCAAAGCCAGGCCAGACCGCTATAATAAATAAATCAATAACGTTAATATAAGTCAATATTATTATTTCACCAATTATCCCACTACAAGAAAACATATTATTTAAGTAATGATTTCTTATATTTACGCGAACACTACACCTTTAAATAATACTAGTTTTTTGGAATTTGATCGCATATCGGTATCTACTTTTTTATATACCCGACGCAACGTTTCGAGCACTTTACATCACCCATGTCGTAGTTAACCGCGTGTCCAGATATCATAGCTAGCCGCGGTTACCACAGATTAAAATTATCAATTTTTCTTCCGATCTACACACCTGTTTTCTTATCTACCTGCTGTACCACCGTTAGTCAGAGGAGTCACTGACAAGATTGGCCACATCCTGAAGCGCACTTCCATTAAAACATACTTCTAGCCGCCGCAGAAGGTCAGTTTTTACCATCAGTCGAGTGTCCCTCTGCAAGATGCAGGAGTGATTGTGAATATGGTCTCTCTTACATAGGACAAACTAACAGATCAATTAGAACCCGCGTTAAAGAGCATATAGCTGATGTGAAGAATCGACGCTCCGGGAAGTCAGTGTCAGTCAGTCAATGCAGTCTGTGAACACGTAGGTACAGGATCGCCCCCGTCACTACATCAGATTTGATAGATCACAAATCCTCGCTAAAGAACACCGATTCCTTCCAAGAATGATGATGAAGCGAGGCTATTGTAATCAAAAAACATCGTAATTTTAATAGAGAAGATGGCTGGGTGCTACCATCTGCTTGGGATCCTATAATTAATAAAATTAAATACCAACCCAAGCATACAACTGCAAGACTTCAAGATATCATAAGTTTATACGGCGTAGATCGAAACAAAAGTTAATAATTTTAATCTATGGTAACCGCGGTTAACTATGACATCTGGACGTTGAACATCTCAGTTTCACCCGTGACCATGGGTGCTATAAAGTGCTTGAAACATCGGGTATATTAAAAAGTTCAATATTATTTAAGTATTAGGCTCGGCCAAACAGTACCTAGATATTCGCTGGGTATGCGACTAAATAGCATAAATGTGGCCGAATAGGTCGAATAGGTATCGAACAAATAGCCGAATATTCGTTGCAAGTAATATTTGTAACTGGAGGGTGACAATGTCGAGTGACGTTGCTTTTGTTTGTTGTATATGTCAGTCACGTGAGAAGCATTGTGAGTGAAGACAACGGCTACAAAGTGACCTTGGCAATGGCCGCCAGTGATTCATTTAAAAGTGCTAAGGTTGCGTCGCGGCGGCACGTGCGGAGTGCGGACGTGCCCGCGCTCCGCCGACGTGAACCGGGAAGTGAACGTACATGCATAATCTCATGTAACTACCAAAGTATGAAAAAAAAATGCTAAAGCCCAAGTGTTATACGCTTTTAAGACCAGAAGACTTCGCTATTCTTTCATGTAATTTGAAAACCGACCTTTCCTCGACCGTTGCACGTTGACCGTTGTGTTTCGAGTTGGTTTCTAGCGAAGTGTGCTCCTTTGATAGTTTAATTAATTGGTAGCTATATAGTTTAAAGATAGATTACGACGACAATACTTAAGTTTAAGTAGAGTATAGGTAATCATTTTATGTAATTTGCGGTGCGGTTGTTTGAACCGCGTCAGTATAAAGTTTATGGTCTTTGGAATGTACACAAAACTTTCCATTGCAAGGTCAAGTGCATTCGAGCATTCACTTTGCATTGATCACACACGCAAAACAAATCTAATGTTTTATTTTTAAATCTCTTTGCACGAAAGCGGGGGGATAACAACATAGAATACAATAATAATACACAAGTATTATATTATACTATGGACAACAACAATGGCGTTGAATGAAAGTGAATGAGACTGTAATAGCATCGAGGCACAGAATAAATAGGTAATATTTATACGTAATCGAGGTCTAAAATGGCGCGGCGAAGTAGGCAGAGCGAACAAAGAGATGAGCGGTATTGTCTGGGTGAGAGAGGTGTGGCCGCGGATAGCTGATTGGAGCTGCCGGTAGCGCCTCGAAACGCGTCTTGTTTACCGATTTACGCGGGCCAGTGGCCTAACGTATAGGTACTATTATTTATACCAGTTCTAGTGCTAACTGTTAATGTTACCTAAATAGGCAATATGCGATCATGGTTTCTTTTTAGTTTTTAGCATGTATAGTGTTATAGGGTGTGATAATACATTGACCTATTTATTCATTGCATGATAAAATTTGCACGCGTAAGACGTTAATGAGGCAGAAACATAAGCTAAGTACCTACACACAAAATAATGCTTCATATATAGTAATATGTACGATAAATAGCTCGTACATTTAGTATAGTTTTATTAAATAGTGTAATAAAAGCTCGAAGAATGATAAAGCTAAAGAAGACGCTTAACTACTCATTTAATATCTATATTTTTTCTTTTATTTACCTACGCGTTTAATATAAATGTTTATTTATATGATTGCTTTGCAGCACCTGTGATCACGTAGAGACAGTCCCCCAGTCCAATCCTCCCAGCAAAATTAAGCCCCGTGGGGTAAAACCTGGTAATTCGCCGCACTTGATCAAAACACCCCACTAGCCTAGCATGCACACAAAGTTGCAAGCTCACAACTAGTCACCATCACCACAGTCTACCATTAATGGTAGAACCTTGTTGGTCAACGCATGCGTGCACGCACAAATGATTTGTTGACCGTTAGAAAATATTAAAAAATCTACTAGGTACTTATTATAACTGTGTCAAGGCAATTTGTGGTGAGTTTCACGTGAATTCGTATAGGTAGTTTGGTAAGTTAATATTTTGTGTTAAAATGACCTGCACTATCGTTAAATACCTAGATAATACTTATTACCCGTGTTTACTACATATTCGCTTAACGTTATAACCTTGAATATTGTGATTCTACCGAGATGGGGCATTTTGGAAAACGAATTTGACAATAAGCCCTTCTGCCAGTAGGTAGTTTAAAATGCCCCGTTAGTAGTTTAAAATGTCTTGAAAATATCAGAGAACGAAATTACAAGCGTCATGGAGTGGAGACGAGTAAGGTAGGGCAATGCGTACCTACTGAATAAAGAATTGGGTGTTGATGAGACATTCAGAAAATATGGAATACCGTCTCGAACCCTGAAGAGGCACATTTATTTAGGAAAAACAAAAGGCCCTCTTGGGCGTAAACTAGTTGTATCAGTAGAGTATGATTGGCAATTGCAAAAATTGGCAACATTAAAAAAAATAGTGACAAAAGTTTTTTTATAGGATAAAGTTAACAAACGAGCACCCAGTCTACCTGATGGTTGGTGGATGCTGTGGCACATAGACACTTACATTTACCACAAATTGCAGATGCGTTGATACCCGTAAGGACTTAGATGGAATGCCTCGTTTCCAGTAAAAAAGGGTCTACGTTTGTCTACACTCATTATACGAAACACAGCAGCTTTATGCTACTATTTTACACTGGTGAGAGCGTGCTTCTTCCCCGGTCGAGCTGACCCATTCGTGCTACAAACGTAATATAGCTGCAGCGTGGCTCTACCACGTATAACATATACAAAAGAAATTAAAACAAACCACAATTTTCTGAAGGACATCACAAAGCCATAATTCTTCATGAACAAAAAATCATCATACGTCACCTTTTCAATATGCTAATAGTACCGACAATGGGGCATTTTGTAACGAAGTGAGTCATATTAGCCAATGATACTTGACAAAACGTTCCAGCCTCGGTTTAAAAAAAATGATAATAACAAAAGTATAGTTCCTATTACGATTACCGTTTGCTATATTGATGTCAAAATATCAAATATATTTTAAATTAGATATTAAAATACAGTAATTGCGTAAGCAGTAAGGGCGTGTTACCAAGTTTTACCCTAAAATTAGTTTTTCTTTATTGAAACTTTAAAGTTGAGAAATAGCACAATTCGATTTCCGAATTTGACACTAACTCCTTATCTTTAACTTGAAATTACTGAATAGAGTAGATCAAATTAGGTATAAAATGTATGAAAATTCTTGAAACTCTATACCGAGTATAGTTTGGAAATGATGCAATATTGGACTTCGGCTGTTGGCACATTTGTTGACTACCGTCTGTAGGAAAATTATGAAAACTTGTAGCTAGCGGTAAACATGGCGCAATAGCCGGGGACGCTTTGTTTGTGCACGTTTATTATATCGTGTATCGGCTTTTTACTGTCTGAGTTTGATTTTTCAGTACATTAATTTCTCTTGATCACTTGACGCAAACGTGACGAAAGTGTTGTATACTCATCCCATTTGGTTCGCATCAA